CGACTGCATTTTATACGACATCTTTTTTTGTCGAATATGTCTGTCGATTAAAGTATAATCGACAGAAATACCTTTATATTCGACAGAATTTTCTGTCGAATATACTGTGTTTTCCAGTAGTGGCAGCATTATGAAGGTAATTAACTTCATTACCTTATTTATACTCATATACATATTTTTTCATTTACTTTTTATTTATTTTGCATGCTTTAAATAATATGATTTCATTTGTGATTTATTTATTTATTTTGCATTATATTTTTGTAGGATTCTTTTTGCAAAGCATCAAGTATTTTTATTTATTTTTATTTTCTTGCATATATGCAAATTTAATCATACTTATTAATAAATGATTATACTCATAATTAAAAAATCATAAAAGCTCAAAAAATTAAATAAATAACAATTGTATATAGTTCATAATATTAATATCAAATTATTATAGTAGTAAATCTTTTTATAATATCTATTATGCATACTACAATTTATTAAATAATTTAAATTTTCTTTTCAAATCTGGAAATCTATTTCGGTCAAGCTACTTGACTGAACTACATTGAAAATTTTCTGCCAACATTTTGAATTTCTCCCTACAAATCATTCATTAAATAATTTTTTTAAAAAAAAATTTGCCAATATATTTTGGTCAAGCTCCATGACCAAAATACATTGAAAATTTTCCGCCAACATTTTGAATTTTACCCTACAAATTATTCAAAATCTACCACTATATTTCGGTCAAAGAACTTGACTGAAAAAATATACAATAAATTTCCCAAAAAAAGAGTAAATCCTATATTATTTCGGTTAGTCATTTTGCTCGAGATAGGCCGAGAATAAGTTTTTTTGCCATCTTATTTTGGTTAGTTATTTTGCCCAAAAAAAGTTAGCTCAAATACCAAAAATAACCCTTACCTATAATTCGGTCAAGCATACTAATCAAAATATTTACTTAAAATATTATTAATTAATTTGGTCAAATTATTTGTCTGAATATAATAGTTATTTAATGAGTTTTTGAAGGATGTTTTCGGTCAATTATATTCACCGAATTAATGATATATTTTGCTAAGATGAAATTTTCTTCAAAATAGTATTTCGTACAAAGAATATTCGGGCCAACAATTCAGTCAATAGACTTGACTGAAGTGTTGCCTATTCGATTATAAAACGCACTATTTCGGTCAAGATGCACTATTTCGGTCAAGATACTTGGCCGAAAAACCCCCTGATTCTAGTAGTGTCATGCACAAGTGGTTGGGTTTTTTCCCCTATAAATACCCATGCATCCAAAAGCAAGGGGAGCAAGCAAGAGAAATTGAGAAGAGCTAAGAGAGTGAGTGTTCTTGTGAGAGAAAAGAAAGAGAGAAATTATGAGATAATCATTGTAAAAATTAAGAGAGAGTATTATGGAGAATTTGAATGTTTCTATATATTGAAAATAAGATGTTAAGAATTTCTTGAGTAAGAGAATTTCTAAATTATTGTATTCTTTTTTTTAATGAATGATTTAATTTCTCTTTTTCCTGTGAATATAAACTTATTGAGAAGTATACAAGTTGAACTACTTAAATTGTTATCTCAACTTTTTTATCGCTTCAATTTGAGTGGGATTATGATGCTCAAAATTTCCCAATAGCAGTGCATACCATTTATATTTGGCGAAACTCCCTCTTAAGCCCCTAGACTTATCTCAAATTAACACTTAAACCCTTAAAACTTATTAAAACAACATAAATAAACCCTCAAACCTCTCAAATGATGTGAATTAGCCCTCAATCCCTTTGAAAGATGCAAATCAACCCTCAACATTAACAACGCAATGCCTTTGACCTCATGCTATCTATTCTTTTCCTTTTCTTGATCCTCCTTTTTCTCGTTGATCAAAAGACCCCTTGGATTGTAAAAATCCCTCCAAAATTATCCATGTTGCTTAAGAATACTAAATAAAAAAGGGGTCACAGGGCTACTTTGGCAGGATTTTTATTGCCTAAAGATTTCTTTGATCCATGTCAACCCATATGAAAAAGTGGAACCAAGAAAGGAAAAGAACAAACAACATGACATCACAAGCATTGGGTTGAGAGGTGTGAGGGCTGCTTTGTATCTTTTTAGAGGTTTGAGAGCTAATTTGCATCAATTAACGAATTTGAGAGCTTATTTTCATCATTTTTAGTTAAAAGCTCATGTTAGTTGGGTAAGTCTAGGGGTTTAAGAGGGGATTTTGCTTTGATTTTGCTTTTATATTTCTTCTAAGAGAAGTGTTGCAGTGAATGGCGACACTTGGCTACTCGAAACTTTAATTTTATAATATGCCTGGTTTTAAAAAAATAGAAATCAAATGTTAATTTTAGAGCATGCTTGGTTTTAGAGAAATAAAAAATGCACATATGGAAGTTTCTTTCTGTATTTGAATTAGAAAAAGGTTAACAACTAAACTAAACAAGGATTTGTGAGAGATGACATCTACTTCAGAATTACACCGACAAGAAGAACGTAGGTGAGTTGTCATCCTTGAAAGGGAAAAATAGAGGCCGAAGCCCACGGGAATACAGACAGTCCGACAGGGCACATAGGCTTTTCTCTGTAGTAAGCCCATGTAAAACATATAGTTAAACCCATCAAACCATTCTATGTGCTGGTGGGTTCAGGCTGTTGTAGACTCAAAGATAAGAGAAGAACACAAAACTTCCATCATTTTACCACCTTATTGTAGTCATCGAGAAAGTCTGTTGTATCCCCAGGATACAGCAGATACAGTATCTTAGACCAATTCAAAAACATCAAATCAGTTAATTTTTCACACTTCATCAATCAGGGACAAAAAAACAGAGCTGATGTGGTGTTTATGAATTGGTTTGGGAGGCTACATCTATTGTATCTTAGGCATACAGTAGACTTTCTCGTAGTTGTCATAATTAAAAAAAGTAAAAGAATCAAGAAATTGTAGAAGTTTCAATTTCTTACCATTACTGCAAATCTAAATTTGGTAGAAGAAAATAACTTTATTCATTTATACAAAGAATTTCTTTTTATGCAATCTAAATTATAGTGATTGTAAAATAAAAATTATTAAATATCTTAAATAAAAATTATGTAACACAAATTTCAATATTAAAAAATTTACTCTATCTAATAATTTAAATTTTATAATTTAATCTGCACATTACATTTTTATTATATAAATAATGCAATTTTCACATGAAATATATATTAAGAACTAAAAAATCAATGCACATAGGTTATGTATATTTGTGCAAAAACAAAAGAATTATAATAATAAC